TCTGTTTGTTCATACGTAGAATCTGAGGATCAAGTTCAAATATAAGCAAAATCTCTTTAAAGAATTTTTCAAATTTTTTTTAAACCCGATTTTTGATTGGTTAACCTTTAACTACTTGTAACGATTAAATATAAAAACTATATTTTACTAATGGCTTTCAAGTCTTACATTTTTACCTGTCAAAAATAATTATGCAAACAGTGGCCGCGGAAGCTGATGGGACATGTGGGGACATTAACATTTGTTCACATTTCACTTTGCGGGATCAAGTTCAAAGATGAGTAAATCCAGAGAAAAGTGGATAAGCCTCCTAAAGGAGACCCACAGAACTATACTATTCTCTCTAGAAGGAGTACTGGACGAGCGATAGTAGCCACACTATGAGCGCCGTCTATGCACATTCACCAACTAATAATACGCTGGTAGGTGTTGCACCCGAGCGCCACCACTTCTCACCGAGCAACTAAATAATACACAGGGTATGTGCGCCACCGTCGCTCCAGTTGACACATAACTTTGTATACTCAAATCAGCAGGGAAACATACCCATTGAGGAGACCCAGAAGACTCAACTCCATCAGTTGCATAAGCACGTTGAGACCAATAACAGACAAGGACGAGGTTTTCGGACTTTTTCACCATAACCTCTCAGTTTTTCAGCTGCTTAAACAATCAAAATATACATTTCTTTCGATTTCGGCGTACAACTATACAATTTACTGCATTTTGATAAACTCTGACTCCGAAATTAAAAAAAGATCCAATGAAAATTATTTAATTAAAAAAATTTCTGATTGGCTATCGCTGGGTGGGAGGGATCGAAAACCTCGTCCCCCTTGGTTATTGGTCAATTCGACTCTCAATGTGGCTTATGCATTCTTTATCTCTACATCTCTATATGAATGTATGTTCAATGAGTAAATCTGTGTAAAGTATTTGTCAAAAATATAAAAAAGCAATTTCTTGGATTACCAACCTTCAACTACTTTTACGATTAAATACAAACACCATATTTACTAATGGCTTTCAAGTCTTACATTTTACTTGCAATTTTTAACTTGTCCAAAAATAAATATGCAAACAGTTGCCACGGAAGCTGAGGGACGTTAACATCGTAGATAGGGGAGGGAGGGTTTATTTAGCATGGGCAGATGATGAGGACATCGAACAACCCGTGAGGACATTGTCCCTCGTCCCCACCCACGCTTCCGTGCCACTGTATGCAATTTATTAGAACATTGCCCTTATGGGACGATAAGCCCCGAGTCCGTTGAGATATTGAGATAAATTGCGGACTTATATAAGCGTCATAATTTCGATTCGTCACCACTGGAAAATTCATTTCAAAATTTTTCAAAATTTTTGTCACAATAATAATCTGCATAGATGTTAATTTACTTGCTTAAAACTCGGTGATTTGAAAATATTTCTCAACATGTCTTACTTTCAACACGCCAAGTCCTTATTCTATATATGGGTTACAAATCATACATTTTTGCCCGACATGAAAATCGTATTTTCATGTCGGGCAAAAATTATAAATAAAGCATGCCAAAAATGTCTAAACTCCATGGGGGCAAGTAAATACAACCGTAGGATTTCACTACAATTGTACCTGTTCAATTTGATTCATATGAATGATTATGATGGTGAATGGTAGTGAATGATAATAAATTTCCTGTCATTTGAATGAAAATGACCGAAGGATTTCGTTATTTCAGATGAATTACTGTGAATGAAAGGATTTTTAACTCCTTCATTTTTCACCCTATGCTTAATACATGGGGAGAAGTAAGAAATGAAGTCCGATGAAGTGAAATGAAATGAGTTTGAACGAAAATGACGGAATGTGAACGAAAATCTTCAGTCAGAAATCGTAATCAGCACTCTAAATAATTTTTATTAAAATTTGCTCAATTTTGAGTGAAATTTCACCAAAGCAACTATTGGTAAAATTTACCCTGAGAAAGTAAAATTTACTCAAGCTTGAAAGATTTTTGCTCAGCTTGAGTAAATTTTACCTTTGTCAGAGTAAATTTTTGCTCAATAGTTGCTTTGGTGGCAATTTTACTCAACTTTATTTACAGTGAGTGACTATTGAATGAAAACTGAAATTTTGAACGGTAATATGATGATTGTAGTTTACTACCGGTTACATTTCGCATCTTAAAAACTTTAAATGAATTCAATGCTAAGCTCGAATTTTGTAAAAGGCGTACAAATCTTACATTTTTTCCCAGCATAAAAATATTGAAAATATGTAAATACCTCATTTCGAGTATGACATAAATTCTTAAATTATTTAACATAACATTGTCCATTTATTATGATTGAGTGGCAAAATTTTTAAATACCGGATGAACTGGACATGTCATAAATGCGCATAATTCCGTATGGAAGACATCACAGGCCATGGCCTCAGATTCAGATGAAACTTGCAAAGACTAATCTTACAAAATGTAATTACGTACTGTAACAAATAAAACATTTTGGTAAACAGCTTACAAATCTTACATTTTTGCATAACTCGTTAGTAGACCTCTTTACTGACATGAAAATAAGTACCTCATTTTCTACATGACATAAATTCTCGCCTTTTTATGGGCTGTAACAGCTCCGGAATTCCAAACTCTGGGAAGGACGGAGTCAAAATAACTGAATTTTGATCAACTCTGATAAATTTACGCATCGTGACCGTGGTGCGAGCCGTTGCCCCCTTCGGCATTGCGGAGGAGGTCGTTTCCACCGTTTTAGGCCTTTTAAGATGGCCTTATAGATTTGTCAAGATGTCTGTCTGTCCGTCCGTCTGTAGGCACGATCACTCTCTTTAAGCAAAAGCTATCGAGTTGAAATTTTGCCATGCTTCATCTTCGGTTAAAAAAAAGTAAGGATGAGTTCGGAGTATGAGCATGATCGGTCAAGTGGTTGGCCGGTGGGGGTCATTTCCACCCAAATGTGTTACCATTAACTACCAAGATGCCCATTAATGCCATCTTAAAGGCCCCACAAAGTTGCTTGGAGTAGGTTTTTGACATTATGAGAGGCAAAGCGCGAGACAAATCGGCCGCCGCTGCGGCCACGAAGAAGGAGACCGATGCCAAATTTCGACGTGGATAACGCCACGACGACGAAAACGAGTAAAAAGTTCAGTTATGACGGAAATAATCATCGCCGCGTGGTTCAGACGAGCTAATCTCCGTTCGTCGTGGGTGTGCCGACCCATCCCCGGGTTAATTTAGGATGAGGGGGTCCAGCCCCGAAATAATCTGGGTGGAACTAAAAGAAAGCGGAGACTTACGATAAGTCGGACTAGTGGTAAAATAAGAGCGTCAAAATTCGTCTCGATTTATTTAAATTTTTATTTATTTGATTTATTTATTTAAATTTATCTTATTCGTATTATTATATCCGTTATGGAAAATTTAAATTTTTTAAAATTTTTTGAAATTGTGGGATTTTTGGTGATGGAATTTTATTTTATTTGTGTAAGATAACTTGGTGGGGTAGTTGTTTCAAAATAGTGAAGGTGCATTTTACCCGAACTTCGGATGCCGGAATTATCTTGAATTACTTTGCTAATTAAAAACAAATTCAATAATTTGTAAATGGCATTCAAATCTTGCATTTTTGACGTGTTAATAAATGCTAATTTATATTAGCCATTTTGACACAAGTTTGGCATTTTTGAATTTTTCGGTGATGAGAATTTTATTTAAATTGAAAAAAATTGGTGGTTGTGGTGTCATGTGTACATAAACGTCTCATTTTAAAATGGGGCGAGAATTCTTTTGACTATTTTTATTACAAGAGTTATTTATATGAAACATTTTAAAATATTGGACATGCCACCAATGCGAATATCGCGCCCAAAGAGCTAATTAATTTGACACTGTGACGCATTCCAGGATTTAATGTACCTATACCAAAATCAAAAACTGACATTTCATCTTAAAATACTTTGAACCCTTTAATCAGAGTCTACATTTTGTAAATGGCTTACAGATCATACACTCTTTACCAGGATGAAAATATTTAAATGCCTCATTTTGACTTTGGCGTACGTAAATTCTGTGAGTAATTATTATGATATTGATTTTGTCTTAAAATTGAAAATAAAATTTAAATAAAAAATAAAAATTTATTAAAAATAAATTTATAAAATTCTGGCTTGGAATATTTATATTAAAAAAACAGGACAAACAGGCATGCAATAATGCGAGAATGCCCGACTTGCGATTAGTATTCGACCCAGTAAAACCCGGAGACGGAATACCCTTCCGTACCGGTTTTCATTAAAATATTTACAGAAAGTTTCCCGTATTTATCTTAAAATTCTTTAATCAAATATCTCCCACTGTTTGTAAATTGATTTCAAACTTGCGTTTTTCATTAATTTTGTCTGTTTTGAAATGAATTTTGTTGCTTGGGATTATGGTTTCAAAATATTCGTCACAAATTAACCGATGAAAATGCATCCCATCTTAGTTCAGCTCATATTATAAAAATTTAAATTCCACATTTTGTACATGGCTTACAAGTCATACATTTTTTTACATGCGAGCAAATATTATGCCTCATTTTGAGTCTGACATAAATTCTCAAATTCTTAATTATAACATTGTCCTTATCGTGGAGTGGCGTATTTTTAAATACTGGACAAAGAGGGTATAAATGGCATAAATGCCATAAATGGCATAAATGCCATAAATGGCATAAATGCCATAAATGGCATAAATGCCTAAATTCTCTGGGAACAAATAACGCAACCGTACCGATTTCATTACCGTACACTCTTAGCAACTTGGTAAATAATTCCTAATAAGCGTCTTTACCGAGCTCTTGGTAATGACGCGTCCTACAAAAATTATACCGGATTATTACCGTATCAATACCAACCGGGTAACTGGCCTTCCACCACAATATTTTAAGTTATCTTTATAATTTTGGTAATAAATTCCTACGAGCTGGTAATTATATCCTTCAAATTTAGATAACATTTTTACCATAATTTTAATCAAGTGCACTACAAGTTGTGGTGCTGACGAGATCTACATTTTGGTGTGGTTTATTACCATAGTGGTAAGAATTTTAATACATTTGGTATGGATTGTGAGACGCTACACAGTGGCGCATTTTTCAGTTTTAGTTTCTGCTCAGCTCAACTCAAGTCAAAATGGCGAAATTAATCCTATTCTGCCCGTGGAAGAAAGTGATAAAAACTTCTGGAAATTATATAGAATTTTTGGAAACAGGTAAGTATCAAATTATCATATGTAGGTGCCTTGAAGATGGTGATCGAGCACGACCACCATCTTAATAGGAACGAGTAAATAATAATGTTATGTTTATTTTTTTCAGTGAAGCAAAAATTTGAGTTGGAAATCAGAACAGAGATTTTTCTGCAAGACGTCAACCGGTGTGGGCTCATCCAAAATCGACTGGAGATTCATCGGAATTTGAAGGGGGACAGACGAGTGTCAAAAACCATAGTTTGCATTATACTTAAATTTTATATCATGTAAGTAATATGTTTCAAAATGATTTTACAATAAATATAATTGATTGAAAGATTATTGTAAAGAAATAAATAAATGTATTATTTTCGGTGGAAATCTGCACAACATTTGGTAATAATGGGGTATACATATAAAAAGCATTAATACCGGTATGAGTAGCACGCCGTGTACAAAGTGGTATGGTTTATTACCAGGCGGTAGACATTTTACTACATATTGTAGTACATCTGTCATACATCACGGTATTGATTTTATCCCTAAAGGTGTTCTTTATTACCACTTCGGGTTCAATCAATTTCTTTACCAGCCGGTGGTTATTATTAC